GTCTAAAAGGAAACAATCTAAAGTGAAAATGGAGGCTTGTTGTAGGCTTACTTATTTGTGACAATAAACTACTCTTCTTAAGTCTAGTTTATGGTACGAATGTTCCCTTGTTACTTTATTATCCTATCATTATCAGTATTTAAATTGCTCTGAAGAAAATAAGTAAAGCCAGCTGCAAGCGAGATTGTTCGATGCCCCTGCAGAGAAAAAATTACCAAGTGAGTTTGTCACAGTCATATACACAAAAGCACAACTGACTTTTACAACACTTTGTTAGTGACCACCTATAGGTTCTGGTAACTGGAAGTACTAATAGTATGAATTATACAGTCTCTGAAAGAATTCAGCAGGAATACAAAATGCACAAATAGAAGAAGACAGTCAGGCTTCTCCTATCAAGGGACTTGTGGACTGTACTTAACAGTGCATCAGATTCAGGTATATCTAGATTTTAGATTCAGTGTGAGAATCAACCATTGATCCAGTTTTCTAACTAAACTTAAATATCACTGAAATAAAACATACGACCAGAGTTTAAATGGTGATTGCAGATTTTACCAAGCCTTTCATCCTCCAATTTTTTTCTAACATTTTGTCCAATCCAGAAATCTAGCAATCTCCAAGATCTTTGAATGAGCCTAAGAAAGATATTACTCTAATGATTTGGGAATGCTGTGGTTAAAGATATCAATATACCAAGTACAAGTCTTAAAAGATATAACATTTCTATACCAGAGAGAACATCTGTTTATTAGTGTGGTGCTTAAAATAGAATATTTTTCTGCAATCAACATGGTAATTATGACTGGATCCCACGCAACAGCTAAGGACTAAGCATTTGTTATACAGTAAGTCATTAGCATTGATTACAGGCCCTTGTAGAAGTGATTTTATAGTTATTATGATGGATAGCAGAGTTGTGTTTCTGCCAAAGACTAAGATGATTTTTGGAATGGATACAAGAAAGAGAGAGTTCAAAAGGTCTTTAAAATACAGTTAGACAATTGTTAACAGACCTTACATAATGACCTGATTGATGGCTTCTGAATAGGGGAAAATGCTGAACAAATAAATGAACAGAAGGAGTTTGCTGCCACCTTCTGACTCATATTTATCCATCTAAGCTAGACAATTAAATGATATTCTATCTGAAAGCATTCATTATTCCATGAAAAATAAGCATGGCATTAAATCTATTAGAATAAATAAAATGCTAACTTGCTTGATCTGGAGGTGCAATGGAAGAGTTCTCACCATGTTAAAGAATGTACAGTATTATGCTTTTAAAATGTACTTCGCAAAAGTTGCTTTTTTGAAAATATACAAATCTCAGCTTTTTAAAAAAAAAAATTCTTCAAGAATGTGCAAAACCTAACATTTGATATGACCTGAAGAAAAACCAGAGTTTCATCAGAGTATTTAAAAGAAGGTATAGGAACCTTCTTTTTAAATCTCTCCTTGTGTGAATTGAATTGGCATCACATATTTTAAAATATATTTTTTAATCCCACTTTTGTTATTTGTATTAAAAAAATATATCTAATACTCCTTCTTCCTCCTATTTTCCCCACAACAACATCAACCCTGTGAGGGAATTGAACTGAGAGAATGAGTGGCTCAAAGTCACCCAGCAAGCTTTCATGCCCAAAACAGGACTTTACTCTGCTGTTCATCGTGCTATTTGTTCATGGCACTCTAAAATAATATCCGTTCCTTAAGATTCACTCCAACCGTTCTACTGCAAATACTTTTTTCTCGTTAGGTGAAAGACCCTTGGAAGCCTCAGAAAAAGTAGAAATATATTGTTGGTTGCTATAAGGAAACATTGCATATAATTACATTCTGACAGAATTTTTTTTTCATGTTTAAAAGGTGATTAAGTGTTTTACCATTAATATTATCGTTTTGGTTTGTTTTATATTCAGAATTTTGGTCTAGGATCATTAATAAAATTTGAGTTATCATAAACGTTTAAATTCACTCAGAGAGTAGAGAAGCAACATTCAGGAGAATGATATGCAGTTTTTGCCTAATCTGGATCTAAATTTGGTTGCAATGTATCCATTAGAGCAGCGGCCCCCAACCTTTTGGGCACTTCCATGGACAGAGGTTCCCCCCCCTGCAGACCAGAGGGGGATGGTTTTGCGTGCTATCCCACAGATAAGGCTTCACCTGTTTGCCTGACCCAGTTGCTGACTGGAGCTAAAAGTCTCTCAGTTGCTAGGCTGACCACTTAAATCACTATACAAATTGGCTCTGGTAAGAGATAGCTCAGAATATTAATGGATATTATAATATGATTGATGTTATCATATTTGTTTCTATATTACTGCATATTTGTTTATATATGATCATAATGAAGATGATATTTATATGTTGTGTATGTTAACACCTTGGAGACCTAGAGGGCACACTGCTCAATGTAGAAATGAAATGTATAAAATAAAATAAAATATTAAAAAAGAATATTAATATACACCTTATCCAAAACGTTTGCTTTTTAGACTACTGCAGAATTTGGTGAATAAAATTACACTCAACCTTCTACAAGGCAAGAAGAGAAATATACAGTACAATTTTAAGCCAAAGATATTTTTAAAAAAAAACATTTTTAATTCTTGGGTAAAAGAAAAGTGCACTAAGGGCAATCCCTTTATTACTTCAACGTTGTCTTTTCTTTTTAAATGCTCTTTATTTTATGCTACTTGATGAGCCCGTTAGTTTTAAGAGCGCCCATTCTCTACCTAAAATGTCCTAGCGTGTTACTACTGCACATCCGAGTTGCGAACTGCAGTTCTGGTTCACCGATCGTTTGCGAATCAGGAGCGAGTGAAACATAAGCCATATGCTTTTAAAAATAAGTATATAACCCAGGACCCAGATTGTTGGGGGGATATTGTGACTCTGTAAACCGGTTAGAGAGAGCTGGGAAAACACTGTGAAGCTGTAAGCGCACCAACGTGCCTACCGTCCCTGTCCTATTGTTTCTTTTTTTTTTTGTCTTATATGTATCCATGTATTCATAACTATGTTTTTTTACTTATACCTATTATCTTGTAAGCAATTGACAAAAAATAAATAAAGATAAAATAAAAATAAATAAATAAAGTGCCGTTGCTAAAACCCATTTTCCCTCCTCGAGAGTTCCTCCACGTGAAATCACCGTGAAGAAGCCCGGCACACTTATGAAGCTCAGCAAAAAGAGAACTGGACCGACGCACAGCTCCTCCCATTGGCTATTTGAAGAAACGAAGCCACGCCTCCCCAAAGGCCAACGCTACAAACCAACCGCCACACTTCCTACTTCGGCTTCTTTTTTCTTTTTACCTTCCTCCCATGCACCCCTTCTTCGCTAATCCCGCCCTTTCCGCCGAGGATACGGGCCTTTGTTTGGAGGGAAGCCGGAAACGGTTTAGTTTTCCGGGAATTTTAAACTTTGGGAGCGTTGGGTTGGATATAGTGGGTGATACCTGGACAACGGTATGTGTGTTTTCTTCCCTTAATATTATTATCCGCCGCCTTTTGCAATATTTATCGCTGGGCGAGGAGGTTGGTTTTGGGGTTTTTTTTAATGCCTTTTATACTCTTTTGGCTTCTTCTACTTTGACTTGTTATAAACTTGTTTTTGCAGCTGTACTGAGGATTCAAAAGTGAGTTAGAAGTGCTCGTTTTTTGATGTTTAAAATGTATGGGAAGATAAAACGAGAGCTACAAATTCTGGATTTCTGCTGGGTTACAGCAAATAATTAAAGTTGTCTGCATCTCTTTCTTGCCACTTGGTAGTTTTTTGTATTTTTATGGTATATATATATATGTGTGTGTGTGTGTGTGTGTGCGCGCGCGCATGGGATAACAATTACAGAAAATATTTATTTTTATTCAATGTATTTCTTTGCTGCCTTTTGAACCCCCAACGTTCCTAAAATGGGCCATAAGTAGACCATTATTTGCTGCAAAATTTAAACAAATTAAAAATATGATAGTTTCACTTATCTAAGTATAGTACATGCCATATACCTTTCTCAGTCAAGTATGACCTCTTTAAAGGCTTTAAAGTTTCCTGAATAAGACAGAGCAAAAGCTCTGCACTACAAAATGAGACTGATCCACATTTACACCAAATTCTGATATACTGCATACATGCTGAATTCACTTAAGATATTAAGTTAAAACCAAGGGTTAGTAAATAATAGGCTGTAAAACTCTGGATAACCACTTGATGTCAGCAAACTAGCAGTTTACCACAATGACACTAACATGACTAGATGTGGCTCCATCCATTTTCATTGGTTATCTTTATGTATATGTGAGGACCACTAAAATTCCATTTACCTGGGTGAACTGGGCAGTAACTTATTGTAACTTAAGTGTTTCAAAACTTATCAAATCATGCAAATGTTCCATGACGATTTTACATGAAGAAAGCACATAATATTGACAACTTTCATGACTTGTTGGTGAACTGGACAAAAGGCAGACAGGCCTCCTGAGTAAATTGCTTCTGTCTATTCCCTAAGTGTAAATTGAGCTAAGGATTCCGAATATGAATTTATTGGCAAAATAATGGTTCCCAATTACTTTATTCTCATATTGCCAATTAATAAGTGGTAGTATGAATATAAAACATTTCTTCATTTCTAATCAATACAGTCAAAAATCCCCTTTGTTCCAAGCATATTTTCCAGCTCTTACCCAGATAAATCTTTACCAGACAAAACTGGAGCCTCAGATGAAGTGCTCAGATGAAGTAGACTCCCTGAATTAAATCAAGATAAATGGTGTATGACCAAGAAGGAACCTTGATTATCTGTTCTTTGTTACATTACAGAAAACTGCTTTATCTTTGAATTATGTTACTCCTAGGAGCTTTATGAACACAGATTTAAACATTTTGAAATATTTGTTAGTTGCCTGGTGATTAATTTTGGTTTTTGTTAATTCAGCTCATGATTATTTTGTGTTTTGTGGTGTCCTTCTAGGAGACACTTTTCCATTTCAATATGACTGTAGATGACTATGAGGAACTTCTCAAATACTATGAAATTCATGAAACTATTGGAACAGGTATGCTTCACAATATTTCAGATAGATGTAGGAAATATACCAATCTCAGACTCGTATGAATTTCAAAGTAAAACTATTTAAACTTTGCTACTTTATATTCTATTTTTGATCTGAGTTTCCCAATGAAGGGTATATTCACAATATGCATACATTAAAAACACTACAGGTGATTATTGCAATGTTTTAGCTTTATTTTCAGATTTATTACAGATTCTAGATATATTAGTTTATAAGGTGGCCCTACATTGTTCCATTAAACAAAGCAACCTAGTGATTATTCCTAAGAAAAACATTCACATTTTAATATTTCTCTAGTAATACTGTCTAGAACTGCAGTCTTACCATTTTTTCAATATTTTCATACATTGATTTCTTTATGGACATTGACATTTATAAGAACATTTCAATTTAAAACCCATAGCCAACCCCTGAGTCCCTCACTTCAATTTCATTCCAAATCATCACTTCTATTTTAATTCTCTCCAGTACGATGGAAACACCTTCTTTAGCTCTGTTCATCCCTAAACATATCCATCAAAATGTTCCTACATTTTCTCTGTCTTTTGAAAAGATTAACCACTCCTTGCTCTCTTTGACTAGTCCTTGCAATATATTTTTCTGTGTACTGATTTGTTATTTATGTAGTTTGACTGCCACCTGTCAGAACCTATGCATTTTGAATACACATCCTCTCAGAGAGATTATACACTTAAGCTCAACATCTTTACAAGAAGAAGGGTATTTGTCATCTAAGTACAGAGAGAGATTCCCCAGCCCTCCTTTCATGAAGATTTTTTTGGGGGGGCGGGCGGGGGGGGGAATATTTCCTTTAAAACAAGGCAGAAATTACTGGATAGAGGCTGGAAATAAGTGGAGTGCAAGATCTTCCAAACATCCTAGAACAGGGCTGTCCAGTCTTGGCAACTTTAAGACTTGTGGACTTGAACTCCCAGAATTGAAGTCCACAAGTCTTAAAGTTGCCAAGGTTGGAGACCACTATCCTAGAACATTAAGCAGGAATCTCAAGAAGAATTTTGGGAAGACTAGGAATATTAAATCTTTCTAAAGAGCCTATTATTTCTACAGAAATTGGTTATAAGCCTTATGAGGTCTTTATACCTGAGGTTTAGATTTTTTTTTTTGCATTGTAGACAAAAATTCTTTAATTCACTGCATAAATTAGGAAACTGGGTTTTAATGTCAGCTTTGACTCATATTTCACATATGTGATCCACTATCTAATCTTAGTTTTTTCTTTAACATCAGTTTGCTGTAATTATAATAATAAAGAACCTCATGTCTTTTTAACACGGGAATGGGAAAATATTATTACTTAGTATTAAGGTCTATTCAGGGTATTACAATACAGTAGTTCTTAGGTTCTGTTCAGAGTATTATATTATCCGTTGCATTTTCTTTTTTAATTAAAGATTAGTTAATTCTTTAATAACCTGAACAGATCTATACTTCAATATTGAATATTTTTAGTTAGTATTTCTCCTTTTTTAAAAAAAAAAATTATTTATTTTTGTGTAATTGGAGAAGAGGAGAACAAGAGCTCATTAGTCATATGCATCAGTGTTATGTGATCAGGAGTTGGCAATATCAAAATTATATCATGTTTTGTTTTTACCATTTTATTGCCAGAAAGACTGCACAAGTAATACAAACCTTATTTTCCCTTTACACACCAGTGGCTGAGCGAGGATATCAGATGAGGTTCCTCTGGAGGATGGCCTATGGTAGTGGAAACTACCACATCACCAATTTAAAACAGCTCATTTAACAAACTTAATTGGGATTGACAATTTCACCACTAAGCAAACTAGTTGCTAAGTGGGAAATCACTTGCCTTCTAGCTGAAAAGAGACAAAACTACTCAGTCTCACACCTTTAGCCTTTGTTTTCTTCCTAATCATTCCCCTGCACTTCGGAATGCTCCAGTGCCCGCTTAATGTCTTGTACACACTGAAAACAATGTGATTGCACCAGGAGCCTGTAGCTGAGAGTCACAGTTACACTATGTAAACAGATTACATTATGCAACAGTACTCTCTTGATATCATTTCTCCAATCTCTCCATCCTGGAGTGGGGGTGAGAAAACAAGCAAGGGATTTTTGTGTGCAATCTCCTTTGCCTGACCCTTTCCACTGTCAGTATAATAGCATTGCTTGTGATGTGTTGAAGAAAAAGCAGTTTGCTTTCTTGAAAAGAAAGGAAAGATTGCCTGCAAAAATTTATTGCTTTGTCTCTTCCTATGCCCCATCATAGAGCAGACACACTGGAGAGAAAGAGATCTCAAGAGAGTAAGCTGTTTGCTCTTCTACACATTGAAAGCAATGTGATTGCACTGACAGCCTATGGTTGGGAGCCACAGGTGTACTACACAAACAGCTTACAGTACTGTATTGAAAGCCTTTCTCTAATCTCTGCACTGCAGGAGAGGAGAGCAAGTGATTTCTGTAGGCAGTCGCCCCTTTACCTGACCTTTGGTTGCTGGTGCGATTTCATTGCTTCTGGTGTGTAGAAGAGCAAACGGCTTACACCATTGAAATCCCTTCTCCAATGTTTCTGTTCTGCAAAGGAGGGAGAAAAAGGAAAAAAACCCACTAGTTATGTAAAGGACATTGCATACTGACTGTAATAGACATCATATGACTGAGAGGGCTGCAAAGGTCAGTCACAAATTGGCAGTAATTTTTTCAGCACCATTGTAAGTTCTACCAGTCACTGAAGAGTGGTTGGTGATCAAAGACTATCGGTAAAGACCCAAACAGCCTCTGGAAGAGGTGGTTTGAGACCTCTAGCCTTCTACCCTTCAGACTCAACTCTTTTGCTATGGTGCATGGTATATTTCTTCCACCATTTTCTGAAACAAGAATTCTCTGAATGTGCATTTTTCCATAGCTTATTTCATTCCTTCAAATGTGTTTTCCTAGATTTCCCATTAATGTCACGGTCTTTAATGTCATTCCACAGCATAATTTGTTTTTAAATTTTTCTAACCAGTTTCTGCATTCTCCTTTGTTTTCTATGTTCCTTTCATGATTTTGGAAAACTTCTAATATGATTTCATACATGATTTGTATTTTTTTCTAACTGCAATCATTTTGCTTTCACACCCATTTTTTCAAATCTTATGTTTCCATGCCTGTTTTTTTTTTTTCTAAAAATGCACTTGACATCTCCAAATGTGGACTTTCCCATATCTGAAGCCTCTCATAACCTTCAGTAATTCTTTTTCATCATCAATGTTGCTTTTAGATTTATATTCCTTCCATTGCTGTTGGTATGAATATATTTATGGTTCAATCATGATTTTAAAACAGACCTTTCCCTAAAGGAAATACTTATGAGTGATTTTATCTATTCTTATTACTGAGCAGGATATTTTTTTTTCTTCTGTGTGGCATTCAATCAGAATGTTGCATAATTTTCTCAAAGCACATCTCTGGTGCTTTCATTATCACTGTTCACTAGACCATAATGTGAACTGTCACCAACTATGGATTCTTACTTTCATGTGCACCCATAACACCTACATAATCCCAATTCATACTTTATTGATAAACAGTTCAGTCCTTTGATTCATGAATGAAACTTCACCTTCATTTTCCTGCACTTGCAACTCCATCTTAGATGACCAGGCTGCCTTCAAATCTGTTACATCCTCTCCTGAGGGGTTCTTGGTGCTCTTTAAGCTTGGTTGTTTTCTTGCAGACGTTTCATTCCCCAAACTAAGTAATATCCTCTCCTTTTTCTTAGTTTCACAGATAACAGAATGTTTCTCTTGACCCTTTAGTCTTGCATTCCAACTTCCAAGATGCCTTGGCCTTTCTTAAAGAGTTGGATTTTGTGAGAAAATTCTAGGGGCAGCAATAGCATCATAGAGGTTACAGGAATACAATCCTAAGCATATTGGAGGAAGATCTGCTTTGCTAACAGGGGTGATCTGCAGATTTAAAAGTAAGACATTATTATGAAATAGAGGCTATACTAGACATATAACTGAACAAGTGATCTAAGTAAGGGCTCCTTTGTTAAATAGTCACAAGCTGTCCTTGAGAAGAAGATGTTTTGACCTAACCAATAATTCTAGCTAATAATCACTGTAATCAAGGCAGAATTGAATATAAATGCTAATTGTGAATCATGGTGGGCTTTTCTTTTCCTTACTGTAGGTGGCTTTGCAAAAGTTAAATTGGCTCGTCACTTACTTACTGGTGAACAGGTTGCAATAAAAATAATGGACAAGCTGACTCTGGGGGTGAGTTTTTAAGAAAGGAAATATTAGTTTTATATGTACAAATACTGTTTCTAATCATACAGCTCATTAATTGTTAAGATGGTTTTTGGCCTAAATGATTTGGAATCTTAAGGAATTTGGAATATACTAAAATCGCTTGGGCCACATTTTCCATTAACTGCAACCTAACATTTGGCATTCCGTTAATGATATTTAGACAATAATGCTAGTTGGATGCCAGTTAATGGTAGAATTGTATGTTGGATACAAAAGGCAAACTACTGTAATCCAAAGGTCAAATTGTCCACCTCTATAAAGACTTGATAGACCAAACATCATAATGAGTTTCAGACCAAGGAATTCTTTCTCTGAAAGGTGAAATACACCAGGATACTTATTCTTATTACTGGGAAACTGAAGTGGTGTCCCCAGACTCTTTTCTAAAATGAAGCTCTGCCTTTAGAAACTATTTTCTCTTTTAATGTCATCAAATGAAGTATTTCAGAATATTTAGCTCCTTTTGAAAACACAGCTGGTCCCAGCAAGATAAAGAACATTAAAGGTCACGATATTTGAGGAAGATGAGCTGGCCCAGCAAGCTAAATTATGCCCATGGGTTGGAGAGTTGTGATCCCAGGCATACTTATTACATCTGATTCTGCTCAGCTGCTTTCATTAGGCTAGATTGCCTTTATTTCAGATCCTGCCTTCCTATTCAATTCAATGTTCTTTTTAAAAAAAAAAAGAAATTCAGCTGTGGCCCAATACATTGTGGTCTTGCTAAGGTGCTCTTGTAAGGAATTGTAAGAAGCATGGTTTGTGTATTTTGACAGCCAAACCTCATTCTTGGTTTAGACCTTTTTGTCCCTCATGCCAGCATGCATTAATTCTGAACGGGGAAATGAGCATTGATCAAATGAAACATGGACAGTGTTTTTCATGGCATGCTGTATTTTTTCCTGAAACTATGAGAAAATAATTGTTTTCTTCATGTAGCACCTGAAGAATGGTACACACGTTGCTCAGAAAAGCTCCTTTCTCCTTGTCTTGACTTTTACCATTGTGTTGGATTAGACAAGTATTTTTCAAACCTGACAATTTTAAGATGTGTGGGCTTCTGTCTGGGGAATTTTGGGAATTGAACTTCACACATTTTAACATTGTCAAATTTGAAAAACGCTCAGTTAGACAGAAGAGAACTAGATGAGACAAATATCACTAAGTGTTTTTTTCTGCAGAGAAATTTTTACTGCCATAGAACAAAAAGAAAGCAGTTAAAACAGACCTAAAGCTGGGCAAGAGATTAAAGAACAAAATAGTTCCCGTCCACACAGAAATATTGGAATACCAAAGGCCAAAAAAAGTGGGGGGGTGGGGAGAAGAAGTAAGCAAATAAATGCTTTCATCTTATTTATTTTGACATAAAATGACCTGGAGATGGCATGAATCTTCCATTTTTTAGGATGACTTACCTCGTATAAAAACTGAAATTGAAGCAATGAAGAGCTTAAGCCACCAGAATATCTGTCGTCTGTACCATGTAATTGAGACACCAAAGAAGATCTTTATGGTTTTAGAGGTAAGATTTAAAACCTCATCCGTTTTTACAATTTACATCACAATTCTGTTATACTGGAGGAATTGCTATGGATTCTTGTGGCTGTCTGGTGTACTTATAAGTTTCTTTAGCGAACACTGAATTTATACATTCATAGCAAATAGGAGGCTGTTGGGCTTCTAGGTGAGGATTAGACATCCCTGCAAACTTTTTTAAAGAGAAAATGACAAGATATTGTGCAACATAAAGAAAAAAAATGAAATTGATTTAGTTCTGATATTTTATTATTTACCAATAAATAAAAGATGAGATATGGGATGAAGAAATTTTGGTTGAAATATCTCTGTTGAGTTATTGAAAATGTATTTATCTTGATGAATGGGAAATCATTTATTTCTATACTTTTCTTTTGCTCTTTTTCTTTTTTATAAATATACATATTTCCTTTTCTCCTCCCCCTTCCTTTTTCTTTTTGAACTTTTCATTTACTTTCTCTTTTTAATATTTGCCTTAGATTGAGGATTGATGATAGAGATGCAATTTTACTTAAGGAAATTTCAACTTAAATATTGCACAAGAGGAAAAAGTATATTTTTCTGACAGACATTCAAATAGAAAAAGATCATGTTTAGCTGGGATAAGTTGGAAGGGCTGATTTTTAAACAGCAGAAATTCAGACTATGTGTAGAAAGCAAGAGTTTTATGGAAAATTCAAAGGAGAATGTAAGGAAATGCAAATGGAAGGATAGCATGTGAATAGAATAACAAAAGAAGAGATCTTTTAAAAATAGATTCAGAGAAAGCAATTGATAATTGGATTTTCTTGTTTAGAGTTTTGGAAGATATGTATTTTGGAGATAGTTATTAGATATTCCATATTTAGAATATGGAATAGATATAAACCTCCAAAGCACCTATTTGGATCTCAGCATAAGGGGTATTTTACAGAAGAGAAAAAGCAGATGAAGGGAAATGGTTAATGTATGAGGAATTCTTGGAAAATCATCAAGGGGAATAGAAAATTAAATCAAAACAGCAAATAATGGTATAAAGATATAGCTGTGAATGGTTTTCCCATTTACAGTTATCACAAAGATTTAAAATGAATAAAAAGATTTACGATGTGGAACAAAATAAGAATTTGAAGTGTAATTGTATACTGATGATGAAGGTGTAATTGTTAACATGTTAGTTTGAAATGGAAGAGCTGGACAATGTATGATACATTGTATGATAAAAGTATAATACAATGTATGATAGTAGACTAAGAATTTTGGTTATAATATGAAGATGGATCAAAGGGGGAATGCTGAATGGTCAAAAGATTTAAAATGTATATTACATTGATGGATTTTTCCCCCTCTGTCATCAGATAGTTTGCTCTGGAACAAGGATACCCTATTTTTTTTAATAAACATTGTAAATTTTAATCATTGTACTTGAGTAATTTTACAAAGGTAATATCTGCAGTATTTTACAGAGATTGAATTTAACTAATGTATATATGTTTCCCTGGCAAAATATAGCAGTAGAGGTTCTCTACTTCTTACTTTTCAGGAAAGTCTAAAACCCTTCCATGGTGGTTTCCCATCCCTGCTCCTAACCAAATTATTCAGCACATTTCCCAAGACCAGCTAGTCAAAAAGCCAAATAAGAGAGCAGGAATTACTCATATCATTATAAATTGAATTTATTATCAGGTCTTTCCTCTGAGAGCCAGGTCAGGTAGAACTTGAACCTTGGGCATCCCAGTCTTCAGTCTTAACACTTTCACCATTGTGATAAATTGCCTTACTACAGAAACCAATTGCAAAATTAAAGGAAGAATTAACAATTATATCTTTATGGATGGGTGTGCTCTAATCTTTCCCTTAGTAGGCGTCTGTTGTTGATGGGAAACTAACCATTTGGTATTGAAATCTCTGTGAACTCATAAATCATTCCTGGCCTCCTCTTGAGTTGCCATAGGCAGGAGGAGGGGGAGAACTGATGGAGAAGCTTGGTTGCTATGACCAGAAGCGCATTCCACGCATACCTTTCTCCAGATTGTATCTCAGGTTACTAGAATGTGATTTATGACACATTCATAAATCACATGAATTGGGGGAGGGGGGAGAGAACAGGGTCATAGGTGGGCTGACATGTTGCTCCTAATCAATAATTGGATTTCTTTTGAAATTTGGCTCAAGGCTCATGAATTAATTAGGGCATCTTTCAGAACCCTGACGCTCCAGTTGTTTGGAAGGTTGTTTGTTGTTATGCCTAAATTCTGAGCTGCTCAAACAACATAACAGAATGATATAGTTGGTAGGGACCTTGGAGGTCTTTTAGTCCAACCCACTTCTCAAACAGGACACCCTATACCATTTCAGACAAATGGCTGTCCAATCTCTTCTTTTAAATCTCCAGTGAAGGAGCACCTGCAATTTCTGAAGGCAAGTCGTTCCACTGATTAATTGTTCTAACTGTCAGGAAATTTCTCCTTAGTTCTAGCCTGGTTCATAAAAGGATGAAGAAAGAAACCAAAGAATCTATTTGACTTTGCCCTCCGTGGAGTTCAGTGGTTAGGCTTACTCTGTCTCTTTCGTTGAACAGGAACGATATGCTTTTGGCTCTGGGCATGTCCAGCATTCCTACCGGCTTCACGTACCAATAACATATATAATCCATGACAAATTAAAGAGTGGGATGCATCTCTCAGCTGTCTACCAAGGCTTGGAAAAGTTCCATTAAATGCTAATCGTTTTTCCTGTCTTCAGTGTTTTTTAGAGAGCCAGCAACATCGCTTTTGTTTTGTTTTTGTAATTCCAAACTAGCCAATTTTTCCCCAAACACGATGGCTTCTTTCTTCCTTTGCAGTACTGCCCTGGAGGAGAGCTCTTTGATTACATAATTGCAAAGGACCGCTTAGCTGAAGATGAAGCCCGCATCTTTTTTCGTCAGATTGTAGCTGCAATTGCCTACGTACACAGCCAGGGATACGCACACAGGGACCTCAAACCAGTAAGTGTGTAGACAGTAGTAACCTACTGTTCCTAGAAACATAAGCCAAATCTACATTGGTGCCCAGATGGTCTTCACTGCTGGCTGCTGGTTTTATTTCTATTTAGAAGCCTGCAGCCAAAGAACTACATGATAGGTTCAAGCCGGTTTATAAAAAGCCTCACTGCCAACACATCTGTTGCTCCTTGGCCACCCATGGGCCTCCAAGTTTGCCTGCCTAGTCTTTCTTATTAAACTTCCAGCTTTTTCTTGGCTCCTCTCTTTGCCTGCCCTTCTCCATGCCCATTTCTCTTCCTTCTCTACTTCTTTTAATCTCGCTTAGAGCCTACAATCTTTTCTCATTTTTTAACTAGCCCTCTTTTTGCCTTGGTGCATTGTCTCATCTGCTTGCTTCAAACTTTTATTTAATTTCCTCTTCCTTTGTTTCCCCCTGTCCAGTGTTTGCTTTGTGGTCTCTCTCTAGAGCAGTTTTTTTTTAACCTTAACAACTTTAAGGTGGGCAGATTTCAAACCCAGAATTTCAATTCTGGGAGTTAGAATCACACGTCTTAAAGTTGCCAAGGTTGAGAAGTCCTAGAGAAAGACTTATGTTTTCTAGACTTCTGACCCTCCTAGACCCTCTTCCTACATTGTTACATTCTCTTTTTGCAAGATCGCAAATTGCAGCTAAGCCAGCTATTCGTGTTTTGTATGTATAGGTGTGCATTTGATTGAACTGACGCTTGAGGCTTCCTTGGAAGGAGCCGCCTTTACTGCCCATAGTTACTCTTATGCTTCATTGTACTTGTTCTAGCCTGTCATTGTTCTTCTTTTAGGAAAACTTGTTGATTGATGCTGAGCATAATTTGAAGCTGATAGACTTTGGTCTCTGTGCAAAACCAAGGGTGAGTATAAGCTTAATTTCGCTAGAATTCCTTTGCCAAAAAATAACATAAAAAAATCAGACAATATTAGCCTGAAGAAAGAGAGAAGTCTGTAGTTTCATCTCCAAACAAATCATATCTGTTGGGTTCTGTTTGGATTCTTCTTTTCTACTAGTGCCCTACTGAAGGTCAGTCATCTGTGTGACAGAAGTTTAGAGTCTTAGTTTCAAGAGAAAGTCAATTTGGCATAATGATTAAGGCACCAGGATAGAAACAGTGAGTTCTAGTGTTGCTTTAGGCACAAAGCCAGCTGGGTGACCTTGGGCCAGTCACTTTCCCTCAACCCTGGAAAGCAGGTGAAGGGCATACTACTTCCAAAATCTTGCCAGGAAAACAACAGATATTTGTCCAAGCAGGGGCTAAGAGTCAACACTGACTTGAAGGTTTAAAAAAAAGTTTCAACAACTGATCAAATGCCTAATAGTAAAATCCAACATTGGTTTAGACTATCTGGATCGTGATCTCAATCTTCCAAAGGTTTTTTTTTTCTTACAATTTAAGTGTATGCTTAACAAAACCATAAGGTAGTTATAGAAAGCAAAATAAGAACAAAATTCTATCATAGTTTCAGGTATTCCCACATCTCATTTTAGTATTGCTGACACCATGTTCGTGTCATATAATTACATCACATTTTTACTCCAATATAGCAATAGCATCTAGACTTATATACCGCTTCACAATGCTTTACAGCCCTCTCTAAGCAGTTTACAGAGTCAGCATATTCCCTGCAACAATCTGGGTCCTCATTTTACTGATCAGGGAAGGATGAAAGCCTGAGTCAACCTTGAGCCAGTGAGACTCATATAATAACAAGCCTCTTAAAATAATAATAACAATAATTTGTACTATTCTGAATTCACAAAGATCAGCATCATCTTAAACCCCAACTTGCACATGCGCTAGCCTTTCATTACCTGAATTTTGGGTTGCTTTAAGCACAACATGATCTCAATTTGCAATTTGCACTAAATTTAAAAATTCCATGATTTGAACTCCCACTACAGGTGACTTGTATACTCACTTGCATGCCAGATAAAAACAGTAAAGAGGCAAAAGACAAATTGTGTTGATGTCAACGGCTCTTAAGTGTGACACGTCGCTCTGTTTTTCTCTTAGGAGCTCAGGCGTTCATGCCAACAAGATCTACTCAGTTCAGTTTTCATACAGAGGTGAAGCGCCCGTTCTGCGTTGCGGACTTTGATTATTCTTTTTGTTCCTTTTGCAGGGAGGTCTGGATTACCATCTGAACACATGCTGTGGGAGCCCTGCCTATGCAGCACCAGAGTTAATTCAGGGCAAAGCTTATATTGGCTCAGAGGTATTGTAATAGGTGCTTTGGCCTCTAATTCATTTTTTTGAAATCAGCCTCTCAACCGAACTCTTTCAGATTTTCCTCCCAATGTACCACTGTATAAATCTAACAATATCTAAATTTTAAAAAGGAGTAACCTTAGAAAGCCACAATTATGTATAGATAGGGTGCTTGTTTTTGTGTGTATGTGTCCCCCCGTCACCCACCAAATATCTTTTCTTTGGTTACTAGTCATCCTTTCTATGCTGCAGCTTTTCTCCCTGTCTTCTCTCCTTTAAAGACTCTATACAGGTAGTTCTTGACTTTCGACCACAATTGGGACCAGAATTGCTAAGCAAAGGGGTTGTTAAATGAGTCGTGCTCAGTTTTATGACCTTTTTTGCCCCGGTTGTTAAAGGAATTACTGCAGTTATGTGAATCATGCGGTCATTTAGTAAATCCAGTTCCCCTCCAGTTGGAAGCCTGGCTGGGAAAGTCCCAAATGACAATTACACGACTCCAGGATGTTGCAACCATCATAAATATATACTGGATGACAAGGCCTGAATTTTGAATGCACGGACATGGGGATGCTGCAGCAGTCATAAGTGCAAGGACCTCTTGTAAGTTGCTTTCTTCAGTGCCATTGTAACGTCAAGTGGCCGCTGAATGAATAGTTGTAATTCGAGGACTGCCTTTACTGGGGAGGAGGGCTGATTCAGGTGCCTTCCCTAAGACCTGAAAGATGCCCAGCCCCAATACTCTTTCCTCTGCATTGATCAGACCAATATCTGAAATGCATCATAAAGAAATTTTTAAAAGCTGCTGTTTCTTCCCATTGACTGGTAAAGAGAGAAATGTTCTTCTGGTTAAAAAAAAAAAAAAGCATATTCTGGTATAATTCCCTTGTTTCCATTTTAGGGATGGAGCGACTTATATTTTAAAATGCCAATGTATGTCTCTTTCCAAAACCATGGCAGACCGCTGCTTTTATTTAGTTCTCTGTATGCTGGATCTCTCCTGTGATGGCATGCATGGCTGGTAATACTGCGGAGAATCCATCAGGTCTGGAGAGGCTTGGTAGACAACTAGAAGGGTATGGGTGATGTAAATCAGGTGTAGTGATGGAATGCCTGGCCCTTGAAGAAGACCCTTGCAGTTAATCGATGCGGAAATGGATTGGATTCAGTTGAAATCTTTGCCTCTTTCTCTGAACGTTGTCCTGAAATTAAAATCCCTTTTGAGAACATAAGTAAACCTCTCCAGTGCTGAATGGATGCGGGTTGTTGCAACTGAGGATAGCCACTTCTTCCCCACACTAGAGTAGCCATGTGCCTGAGCCCTCTGAGGGTCTCCCTTCTCCAGCTTTTCCCAAAGAGAGGAGAAAAGTGACTGGCAGAGTTGGGAGTATTTCTGCTGCTGCTTCTCTTGCCTGTGTCCCTGCCCACAGTAGTGATTTTGGAGCACTTTGGAAACTATAGAGCCATGATGGCGAACCTATGGCATGCGTGCCACAGGTAGCACGCAGAGTCATTTGTGCCGGCACGCGAGCTTGCAATCAGATTTACCTCACTGTGCATGCGTGTACCTCACAGCTGATTTTCAGGCAGTTTGAGGCCTTTTTCGGCCTCCCAGAGGCTTGAGGAAGACTTGCAGGCTGAAAACTAGGCCTGTTTCATCACTTCCTGTTTTTTCTGGAAGTGATGTAACGGGCCTAGTTTTCGGCCTGCAGAACCCTTCCTCAAGCCTCTGGGAGGCCAAAAAAGGCCTCAAACCAGCTGAAAATCAGCTGTGAGATGCAGTGCAGGTGAGGCGGCGGGGGTGGGTGGGGATTACACACGCAATGCAAGGGGGGCACACATTGCCTTCTGGGTACTGGCATGCGAGCATGCAAGGGTGTACACCATTTTTGGCACAGGAGCCCAAAAAAGTTAGCCACTGCTGTGCTGTCCCAGCCAGTCTATGGGAATTGGATAGTTACTTAGGAATTATGAGTTGTCCCCTTAACGGAATGCATCATGGTAAATGTAGTTAAAGGTATCCTGGGAAATGTAGTTCATGTCATGTGGCCACATCTGTAATCCCGATTGGTCACTAATTTGACCCTTGATGGATTGGGGGAGTTTTCCTCACTTTTGCCTGAATTCCCTAACTGATGGCAGCTGCTTTCTATCGCTACAAGATGGGTTAGGAGATAACCATCTTTTACCTACAAATCAGATATGCAAAGGAATTGGACATAAAGAAGAACTTCGTCACAAATGTGAGTTATGAAGATACCTGATGAACCATTAATAAATACTTTGTATTGATGTTTTGTTGAGTTTATTTACCTCTGTAGAGAATACAGAAAAACCGCTGCTATAGAGAACGGCTAAAGGTTTGCTGCTTCCCTTCTAAGAATGTGTTGTTTCCCTTCAACATCACTTTTTGCCTTATATCAATAAAGCAGAATATTTGTAGCTAAGGGTTGAAATGGGGGCTCCTTGGTGCTCTCTGAGCTTGCTTGTTTTCTTGCAGACGTTTCATTGCCCTAACTAGGTAACATCATCAGTGCTTATCTAGCACAAACACTGATGAAGTTACCTAGTTGGCGTAATGGAACATCTGCAAGAAAGCACCTCATTTTAGCCTTGTTTCCATGCTGATGCTATCAACTGTGAACTTCAGAGGAAAAAAAAACTGCTTTTTTATTCTTTAAAAACAAAAAATACAAAAATCTCATTTCCATTAACAGTTATTGTGTCATTGTATATACATGTTTCTTATTTTGTGACTACATTATTTTTATCCTTATCCTTCACCCATTCGTACCACCTCTCCCATGTCGCATAGTATTCTCAATCCTCTTTGCCTTTCAGTTCCATAGTGAATTTATCTAGTTCAGCACATTCCATTATTTTTTGAATCAAAACTTCATCTGGTGGTATTTTATCACTCTTCCAATTTTATGCTAACATGATTCTTGCTGCAGTTAAGATGTGTACAATAAGAGGTATCTTTTATCTTTACTCAAATTCCCTTTGATCATACCTAATAGAAACATTTTGGGTTCCAAATTCAATTTATTTTTTGTAATCTCAAAAAGCCATCTCTGTATTTTTTTCCAGTATTTTTTGACCTCTATACATTGCCACCTCCTATGGAAAAACGTTCCTTTCTTTTGTTTGCACTTCCAGCATTCTGGTTTCAAGGTTGGATACATTTTTGCCAATCATGCCAGCGCTAAGTGCCATCCACAAAACATTTTATATTGATTGCCATTGACAAAGTCAGCTTGCAGTTCTTGGTCCAAGTCTTTTCCCACTCATCCAAATTTATATTATGACCCACATTTCTCGCCCAGTCAATCATTGTTCCCTTAACAATTTCCTCCTCTAGTTCTACTGTGTTTCTCATATAATAAGGCCGGGTGTTATTTTTTTTTGACCCCGAAAAAACGGCTAGGCCGTCTTTTGGGGGGTGACTTAATTTCCCCCCTTGCATCCTCGGGCGGGCGAGCGGTGATGGCTTGGATGTTGACCTCGGTGTTGGTGAGGCACTTCGTATCGGGAGACCTTCCGCTACCATTGCTTTCCCTTCTCCCGGTGCTGCCATGGCGTTTGGAGCAACACCGCGGCATTTGGCGCAGCCATACTGCATTTGGCGCAGCCACGTGGGGCCGGCCAGGGCTCCTCCCTGCAACTGGAGCCCGGCGGAGACACTCAGCTTCAGGTGCTCCCGTCGCTACCTTCCTGGGCATCGCCAAATGCGTGGCTGCACCAAACACCATGGCATTGCTTTAAACACCGCGGCAGCATGGGGAGAAAGGAAAGCAACGGTGGCAGAAGGTCTCCCGATACGAAGTGCCCCACCAATGCCGAGGTCAACGCAGGCAGCACCATATCCGGGTGTGCAACAAAAGTACTTCCTAACAGCAAGCCCCCACGCCATTCCCCCCATTTTGCATGTTTTAATATAGGCCTTAATTTGGGGGGGGGGTGTAATTTCATTTTTATAAAACATGCTGGGACTTCCTTTGCGGGGAGGCTGTATTGTTGGAGAAACACGGTACCTCCAATAAATAATTATATGTTCGTGTTATAAATTTTATATCCTTGCCTGTCAAGATTTGATCTAAATTTTGTAAATCTTTATCTATCCCTAGCTCCTTTAAATCTTTCTTAAATTTAGTTTGAATTTGCAAATGTACCCACCAGTCTAAAATTATCCCTTGTTCTTTTAGTTTATCCAGTATTTTTAATTCCTCCTGTTCATCTACCAATTGTTTATATCTAATCATTTTTTTAATGTCCCTTGTATTTGGATATAAAATAGCTTCCATAGGTGAGATCCAGTTTGGTCTTTTCAAATAATGCTTTTTTTTATTTTCTCCCATGTTTGTAAAAGTGAGTCCCTTATCAAATGTCTATGAAAATAGGAGTGGATCTTATTCTTTTTATCCCATAGAAAGGCATGCCACCCAATTTGGAGGTCATGACCTTCTATCACCAAAATTCTTTTATTTTTTAAGTTTATCCACTCTGTAACCCATAGTAAAATTGCTGCTTGATAATATGTTTCCCATTTTGGGAGTCCAAGGCCGCCTGGTTCTACTATCTTGTAACATTTTCAATTTTATTTGTGCTTTTTCCCCCATCCATATAAATTTCATTACCATCCTATCTAATTCCTGAAAAAAAGTTCTTATCCAATTTTATAGGTGTTGGGTATATGGATACTCCAACTGGTTTGGGTTGAATAAATATGTAAACCTAGGCTTAAGTGTTTTGTAGCTTTAAGCACAAGAAACTGCAATGTCATTGTGGGTGCGGTTACAGGCAGCCATAAAGGTAGGAAGGGAAACGTAATAGACCCGGCTTCTGGATGCAACTGTATGAGTCCGGCTTCTGGATGCACCTGGTTACTGTTCCTGGTCTGCTGTCTACTGTTGCTGGAAGGTCTATCTGCTTACTTTGGAGGCTACTGTGCCAGATACCATTTTACCTGAACACAAGGACTGTTTACTGGTGAGCTGTGGATTCAGCGTTAGTACTTGAGAGAAAGGTATCATAAGAAGAAGATTACAAGCAGATAAAGACATTGTATTTACTGTTTAATGGACTTGATAACTGGATAGATAAACTGGATACTGACATATGGACTGAATGACTATTCTTAATCTCTGTATGAATTAAATATCTATTTACAACCACAAACAGTGTTTTGTCTCAAGTGTGTGTATACTCTAGGGCCCAGCCTCATTCTCATTTGGCTTCCTGGCTTGACTGCTGCTGCACACTCTGCTAAGGGGTTTATCCCCAAACACTAACAATAGGTATTGTTTGAAAATAGTATAATAGTTTCGGTAGTATGTTCATTTTTATGGCCGCTATTCAGCCTAATAATGATAGTTGTAATTTTCCCAATTGGCCAGATTTTTCTTTATATGTGAAAGTAATTTCATATAATTATCCTCTTTTATGGAAGAGCATCTTCCTGTTAACCAAATTCCTAAATATTTAAGTTTTATGACACTTTGTAATCCCAATTTCCTTTCCACTTTTTTTTAACTTTCTATCAAGTTTTTGGTTATTACTTTTGTTTTATCTTTATTAATTTTTAGTCTTGCTACCGCCCCATATTCTTCTAATTCTTGAATTAGATAAGTCCCTGACTCCGTTGGATCTTCCACAAAAACCACCAAGTCATCCACAAACGCCTGTACTTTATATTGTTCTTTTTTGCTCTTCAGTCCAATTACCTCCTGTCTTTGTCTAATCTGATTTAAAAGAACTTTGATGATCAAGATAAAAAGCAGAGGCGACATTGGACACCCCTGCCTTTCACAATCTTAAAGTTTTCAGTAATCTCTCCATTTATAATTACCCTAGCTTTTTGGTTCGAATAAATTGTGCCAATCATTTTCTTGAATTTAGATCCAAATGCCATATTTTCGAACTGTTGGATCAAGAACTGCCAGCTGAGATTGTCGAAGGCCTTCTGAGCATCCAAGAAAATCAATGCTGCCTGCTTTCCCGGGTGGGCCTCATAGTATTCTAATACGTTTAATACTATCCTTATATTGTTCCTTATCTGTCTAGAAGGTAGAAAACGGTTCTGGTCAATATGAATAAGTTCATTTAATATAATTTTTATCTTTCTGACATTATTGTTGAGACTATTTTATAGTCTACGTTCAGGAGTGATATTGGTCTATAATTTTTAATCTGTTTGTGATCTAAATCTTCTTTAGGAATTAGTGAGATATTCGCTTCTCGCCATGGATCGGGTAATTTGGCAAAGTCTAATACCTCATTGTACACATCTAACAACACTGCTTCAAGACATTCATAAATACATTTATACAGTTCCGCTGGAAGACCATCCGGCCCTGGCATCTTATTATCTTTCTGCCTTTCAACCGCCCTTTTCAATTCCACCACTGTTATTTCTTTATTTAATATCTCTTTCTGTTCCTCTCTAATTTTTTTGGAAACCTTTTCTGTTCTATATTCTCGGTTTATTCCATCCTCCCTATATAGTTGTTCAAAATATTTTTGTACTATTTTCTTTTTCTCAGTCATTCGATATTCAGGGTTCAGGAAGAAAACTGCTTTTCAATGCTGAGCTTCTATTACACTTTTAAAAAATGGCAAGAATAATCCACTTCTCTCCAACTCTAGCACTTCAGGTAGTCCTTGACTTCCAACAGTTCATTTAGCAACCGTTCCAAAGTTACAACAGCAGTGGCAAAAAGTGACATGTCAATTTTTCACCCTCAAGACCTTTGCAGCATCCCCCATGGTCATATGGTCAAAATTCAGGTGCTTGGCAAGTGGTTCATAGTAATGACAGTTTCAGAGTCCCGGGGTCATGTGATCGATCCTCTTTTGCAAGCTTTGGACAAGCAAAAAGCCAGATTCACTTAACAACCATGTTACTAACTTAACTAATGCAACGGTTCACTTAACAACTGGCAAGAAAAGTCATAAAGGGGGCAAACTCACTTAACAAACATTTCACTTAGCAACAAAAAAATTGGGCTCAATTGTGGTCGTAACTCGGGGACTATCTGTACTGTCTTCCTGTTCCCTGGGGTGACATGCTCGACATCTTAAATATAGTGCACAGAATTGTTGAACCTTGAGGTCTTGATAGCCAATTAAGCATCTCATGTTTTTAGCCAGTTTGTGTTTCTTGGCTGAAAGTGACTCGAAACTGTTTCTGAATTGAGGGGGATGTGATTTTGCCATGCCTTAGTTTTTAATCACTTTATCTTTTTTTATCATCTCAGGCAGATATCTGGAGCATGGGAGTCCTTCTGTATGCTCTCCTTTGTGGATATCTACCATTTGATGATGACAACATGATGGCGCTCTATAGGAAAATTGTGGTACGTATCCTATTTTCAAGATCCAGGCCTTTCTGTTTAAACAAGGACTTTTATGGAGTTACTGTGGGAGAGATCTGTTCCCAAAAGGAAAATTCTGAGCATGTTATTACTGATTTTACACAAAATAAGATTGGAAGCTCCATTGTATAGAAGCTGGAATCATGTTACAACTGAAATGCTAGTGTTTTCTTACTATAAGATAGTAATATTATTTTAGCACAAAATGTTGAAACGATCTCTCTCCTCTTCTCTTTCCTCACAGTGAGAGGTATATCTATAAACACCCACATAATCACATTTGCTTTGGACAGTTTCTTCTCTTGCACCCTGTCCTGGTGTGTAATTCCATTTTTTTCCTTGTAATATGTCTTGCCTTTTCAGGGTGATATCAAGAAATGGGAAGATTATGGAATGAAATGAAGGGTACTAGTCTCCCGTAGAGTGGAAAACTTGGTTATTTCTAGATACTCTAGGGTTTTTTTAAAAAAAAAACCTGTCTCTTTTCCTATCCCTTATCTGCCTCTAGGAATCAAAGACATCCAGGGAAAAACAGGCAAATCTCAGTATTAAAAGACATTAGATTGGGTAGCACACTGAATTTCAGTTGGGATCAATTTTTTTAGGGAAAGAAATGCTGAATTGCATTCGGATTCAACAAAAACAAAGCAACTGTGACTGGGTTCAATTCACATGCCTTGCATTTCTCTTCATTTGCTATACATCCTGTGATTCACGTATGCGCAGTTGCCTAAATGCTTCAGCTGGTAGCCTCAGCTTCAGCCGAACAATCACAGTTCCAGCCAGTGTAATCATGTATAGGTAGTAACTTATTATCTGGAGTATTCTTCTTGTTATTCTTCAATAAGCCTCTTCAGCAGGCAGATCACATGCTGTGCATGCAGATAGTCTCTCTTCCAGAATTATTTGTAATACATGGGAGATCTTCCACATCTCTCTCTCTCCCTCCCTCCCTCTCTCCCTCCCTCCCTCCCCCCTTCCCTCTGTCTCTCTCAGACTTGATTTCTGTATCATTTCTATGATTTTATAGCAGACCACAAAATGATTAATAAATAAGCAGCTTGAAAACAATGTATTAATTATATGGAATAAACCAGCATTTTTTCATTGTTTTAACTGGGCATCTTTTTTTCCCTGTTGCTCTAGGAAATGCAGTACAGATAGGATGCTTTGAGCAAAGTATTTGACAAAATACGCTCTGACATTCTCATTAGCAAAGTAGCTATGGCCAAGATAGTATGGCAATTAAGGAGAAACATAGCTTGCTCACCTGGGACTTAAAGAGTGTCCATCAATTATTTCTTTTCTGAGGTTGAGGTGTCAGGCAGGGTGCTTTCAAATCTTATTATGGGCCTAATGCTCTTTATAGTTAAGGATCAATATGTAAGGTACATGAGAGAGAAATGTCAGTAAAGTGAAAATAAGTAATAATTAATCTCCAATATGTGTGGGTCTGCCCAACTGTACTCCGTGTTAACATATTTAAACGATGTTGATGAAGGGGTAAAGGGGAAGCTTGTGAATTTGTGAATGATGTCAGACTGGAAGAGAAGTTCATTCAACTGTGATATCTTTTTTTTTCCTACAGAGGGGGAAATATGATGTCCCCAAATGGCTTTCACCTGGCAGTATCCTGCTTCTGCAACAGATGTTGCAGGTAAGCCTCAGACACAAGAAAAGGTCTCACTGGATCACAAACTTTCCAAGATATCCGTACTTAGTTCAACTCTTCTCACTCTGCTTATGTCAGTCTTTGTTTATATCCCCTTCCATTGTTCTGTTAATCTGGAGCTAGTATTGAGATATTCTGTCTTTGAATATGGAAGTTCTATTACACTATTGTAGCCAAAGGTCAATAGACCTGTTTCCTGTACAGTTTTTCAACTAGCTCAGATGGAATAATATACCTTGAAGGGCAAAACCATTCAGAGTGGTTGGCAAAACCAACCCCTCAAGAATAAGTGCTAAAATGCCTGAAAAACACTGGATGCTATTCGTCACAGCACTGACTTCTCTTAGTTGCAGATCAGTGCTATGATATCTTTTTCTAATCCCTATACAGGTAGTCCTTGAGTTATGACCACAATTGAGCCCAGAATTTATGTTACTAAGTGAGAAATTCGTTAAAGTCCGTTTTGCCCCATTTTACAATTTTTCTTGCTGAGTTGTTAAAAGTGAATCACTGCAGTTGTTAAAGTTAACATGGTAGTAACTTGGTTGTTAAGCGCATCGGGCTTCCCCGTTGACTTTGCTTGTCAGAAGTTCGCAAAGATGGCCACATGATCCCTGGACACTTCAAATGTCATAAATATGAGTCAGTTGTCAAGCATCCAAATGTAAATTGTATGACCATGGGGCTGGCTGTAACAGTCGTAAGTGTGAAAATGGTCATAACTCACATTTTTTCAATGTCATGGTTACTTCAAACGGTCACGAAATGAACTGTTTTAAGTCAAGGACTACCTATCAAGGGTCTATATTTTAAATTATGTTTCTTTTCTTGACCACTAGGTGGACCCAAAGAAACGGATTATGGTGAAGCATCTTTTAAATCATCCTTGGCTCATGCACGGTTATTCCTTTGCTGTCCTGTGGCAAAGTAAATACCCCGTGAGTTGATCAATTTATATTAACGAGACCCTATCTAGGAAAACCTGGGCCAATGTGATTAGTGAATAGTTCAATCTCCAATTGCAAAGGAAGCATGCTATTAAAAGTTCTTAGCTTAAGAACTTAAAACATTCTGAATAACGTGGTGGCTGCCATGCCATCCTTGTATCAAAAATTCTCTGCTGAGCAATCTTGTACCTCTTGAGTTTCTAGGGCAAAATCAAGAGATACCATTATTCTACCTGTTGCTATTACAATCTGTCAAAATGTACACAACCCTCGGATTTTGGGAAGAGCAATATAAAGTATTGATTTCAGCTTAGCTTTCTGTTATATCTAGCACTAGGCTATTCAATGTAATTTAAAAGCTATTCAATATCAATCAAGCTGGGCAGTTGTCAAAATAAATGTTTTTCCAATGAACCTTTCCATGGCCCCGATTCTCTGAAGACATAGTTGCAAGGAAACTGCCTTGTATATCAGATTAGACTGCTTGGCCAGCGTTATCTGTTCTGATTAACACACATTATCCTGGGCAATAAGCACAGATTTTAAGAAGGCCCTCTTGAAATTAAGGATGTTATTCTACTGTGCGCCTTCTGCCCTGCCCCAAACCCTCCATTGCTTATCTCCTCTTACCTGTCAGAACTGGCATTCTTTGCCTTCTGTAGGTCAGCGGCCCCCAATCTTTTCGGTACCAGGGACTGGTTCTGTGGAGAGACTTTTTCTCTGCAGACCGGGGTGTGTGTGTGTGTGGTTTTGCATAGCCCAGTTTCTGGCAAAACTCGTGTCATTTTTTTTTTTTAAAAAGAAGCTTTTATATTTTCAAGTCTTAATTGTAATATATAAATGTTTTCCCTCCCAGCTTGGATGCCTTGATGAAGATTGCATAACAGAACTTTCTGTGTTTCATAAATGTAGAAGAGAAAAAATGGCAGACATAATTTCAGAGGTAACGGGTTTGTATTTAATAATCGTTGGAGAGTCTAGGGGAGTAAAAATGCATTCGTTCAGTATCAAAGCTTGATATTGAGAGCTGACATATTTTGACTTCATTTAAACTTGTAAATATGTTTGTAGTATAAACACTTGAGAGTCTTTTCTGGAAGTTTGGAAAGTTTTCCGTGTAGACTGACTTCCCATGCTCAAAACTTACGTTTTCAAAGAGTATCCTTGGAAACTTCTTTTGGGATCCTCTATGTCAGCAGTGTCAAACTCGCATCGTCACGGTGGTGTCACGTGACATAGTGGGACTTTTTTTCCCCCTTCGCTAAACCAGGCATAGGCATGGCCAGCACGTGATGCATCTGGCCCATGGGCTAGGAGTTTGACAGCCCTGCTCTATGTCAACTGTTAAATATCCATTTGTTGGGCATAGCAACTGGGAGGAAAGTTTGGTGTCCATTTCAGATTGCATTCTTAGCTTCCATGGATCAGAAAGTTAAAGACTCGAATCAGAAATTTAAGCATGTGAGATTAAGTCCATCTTCCACGAACAGCTTCTGGTCCAATGTCTATTCTGCTTCTGTTCTTTTGTATGTATTTAAGTTTATTCATTTAAGTTTCTAGGCCAAACAGCCGCACTCCAAATAGTTTACAGCTCCTATATTACAATATTAAGATTAAAATGCTTATAAACACAGCAACCGTAAATCTGTCATTCAAAAACCAAAGTCTATTAAGCCAAACAGTGTCATTCTGATTATAGCAGCAGAGAAACATGTTTATAAATACTATGGTCTTTCTCCTCATATATTCAGGCATCACTTCCCTTGGAAGGAACATCACAATTCTGTTTCATCACTCATTCAATGATGGGAAAGGCAGATTATTATTGCTCTGTGACATCCCAATAGAAAAGGAGGTAGGCTATTCTAAAGGTGGCAGAGCTACCACCAGCCAAGAATCTCACCCTTGAGATTCTTGTAATAGAAGTATTTCAGAGGTGGAACTTATAACATTCCCTTCAACTATCTCAGGGAAGGGAAAATTGTATCCAATGTAGGCAATCTTAGAGATATCCAGGAACTGGATAAATTACATATAACTTTAAGGGTAATGACCAGAACTTTGAATTAGACTCAGAAGCTAATTAGCTTAGCAATAAAAGCATCTACTGTCAGCTGGGCAAACTAACTGAGCCCATAACTACCCAAATGTGCTGCATTATGGACCAGCATAGCTTCCAAATGGTCCTCAAGAGCAGCCTCATGTAGAGCAGGTCACCATAATCCATCTGTAAACCCATCAGCTTTTTACCTGAACCAGAACGTTGCAATTTGAACCAATCAAATGGCTTGATACAATCTGTTCTGAGTGCCAGGGTGCAGACCAGACATTCACATCTGGCCATCTTATAGTCCTGACAGGTACAGATGTAGAACCCACATTTTCCTGAAGTAGGTAGATTCTCTTTCATGCATACAGAAAGTTGTCCCGGTCCCTTCCTCTATTTTGGCTATGGAAAAAGCAAGACAGAAGTTACTGGACCAAAGCTATATTAAGAGGAGATTAAGGTTGTTTCCAAGAGTCTCAGATTAAAGCCTGGAATTTAAGAAGAAAAAAAATCCAGGAAGATTGAAATAGTGGAATAGAGGAACATCGTGGAGGTAGGACTCTTGAAGGAAAAGAAAATTAATTTGTTTTGGTGTCTGTTTGTGCCTTAAAAGTCCGCTATCGTTTCTCTGCAAGTTCAGCAATTGTATGGACTTTGACTTTTTGTATCAAGTAATAATTCCCCTTTTTTGTTATTTGAAATAATAATGTAAAATCCCACTCAAAGATCTTTACAATGAACTACAATATTTTTTATTTGTAGCCAGCACCATCTTGTGGTCTGCCTAGAGCATTGTCTTTTCTTTTGCAATTCTCTTTTAAAGCTGCCATTAACAACCCCCACCCCCAATGGCCTGGACTGTTCTATTTATTTCCCTCAGCCAGGAATGTTGGCTTTAATGTCTAAAATGTAAAATAGTGCCAAAGTTTCTGCTAAATTTTAAATGTATATAAAGTTAGGTATTGTTTTTGATGGGACTGGGTTTCATGTCTTGACAATGTTATGGTCAAGAGATAGTGCTAACATCTCTCCTCTCTTCTCAATATTTTAATCACCAGAAAGCGTACACCAGGCTTAAGGGGATAGATACCCAGTGCGTTGCTCTGGAAATTAAATTGTTCTTGGAGGAACTTAGCACCACTAAGTAGGAGGGAGAGTCAGGTGTGTGAAGAGCCAGAGGGCTTTTATTTTATGAGCTTGAACTGTGGCTTCCACTACACCAGGGGTGTCAAACTCACATCATCATAGTTGTGTCACGTGACTTATTGGGACTTCCCCCCCCCCCATAGCTAAACCAGGCATGGGAGGGGCCAGCACATGACAATCCAGCCCATAGGCCAGGAGTTTGACAGCCTTGCACTACACAGTCCCTGTTGTGTTTTTGGGTACATACAGTACATTAGGTGAAGTAATGGCACCTAGCACTTTGTCACATAAAGAATTGGCCTTTAACTTACTTCTGAATGTACATTGGACCTTTGGTCCTCGTTAGCATGAACCAGTATTATTTCTCCATCTACAAATATTTGGATCTGACCACCGTTACCTCATTTTGCTTTGTTAGAATGAGGCTCAAGTATAGCCTTATTACCAACTTCAGAGAAGTTTGACTAGAATCCCAAGCTGGTTTTTTTTTATATGGGATGCCTCTTGCATGGAACAACTTTCCATGATTTTTTTTTTTTTAGAAAGTGGCTGGATGTCTGCATAAACAAATTAATTGTGATGCTGTATAAAGGTACTTAAATTATCCATACTGTCAAGGACAAGATAACCAATTCCTTGAACTCAGTTACCATTGGATATGAACTATCCTCTGCTGAATGTTTTTGAGACCTCATTTGAAGGTGAAATTCATTGGCACACCAAGAAAATACTGTATATTATTTAGCCTCCTTGTTAATTTAATTATTCAATTTATGAAGTTGTAAAATACAAATATCGGGGGGAGGGGTTCTTTTTGGTCCAATCAACCATCCCAAGATTATGAGATTCTGCTCCCCTAAAGCAACATACATATCAGTAGCTATTAATTCTGTGAGGTAAAAAGTCATTTGAGAGAGAGGAGTCTGTAAAACAATGGCTTGGGTGCTGCGGAGTTTCTGATTTGAAACTTGCAGAGCACACACACATTTAGCAATGCCGAATTAAGTTTTAGTATTTCAAATTCCTTGCCTTTTAAAAATACTTTCCAAGTCTGTTGTAATAAAATGCTGCATTTCCTACAGAAGATTCTGGTTAGAGACGCTGTCTGTTCACCTGAGATGCTAGTCAGGCTTGTTAGCTTACAGAGGATATTAAGAGCACCCTTTAGACTTTCCTCGAATTCCCCAAGGAAACTTTTGCATCTATATTGGTAGAAATGGATTATGGTGACGGGTACGCCTTTTTCCCAATACTGATCCCATTGTTGAAAACAGTCTGTTTTTTCTTGTTGAGTTTTTGTAAACATATTGGTCTGTACACTTCATCGCTGGTCTGCAGGCACTAAATTTCATATCCCTTTGGAAAACCATGCAAACCTAAATTCTTAACTGCTCAGGCTTCATCTTCATGGCAATCAGCTGCTTATTTCATGGTAAGAATTTGCATATTTCATGGCAGATTGACTTGAAAAATACAGGCTGTTTTGTGATTGTGAAATTAAAACTAAAGAGGCTAGAGGTAAGACATGAATCTCACAAATTTTGTGATCATAAGGTAGGAGTGGAATTAATGAGTTTTAATTCTGCTAAATGTATCTAAATGAGCAAACATGTCTCTAAAGGGCCAAGATTGGGGGTAGGAAATTCTATAAAATTATTCTGCAATTTAACTGAAAGACTGCAGAGTAATAAAGCGACCTTGGCTTTTGAGGCAGGTCACGGATTCAAATTCTGAATATCTCTTTCTGGGAGAGGGGGCTGGGGAGTTATTGGAGGGAGTTTGAAGCGTGAGGGGTTTTGCTCGCAAGCTGTGTTGCTGTCTGCCTTTTCAAGGAAGAGTGATAATCTGTGGTATGCATTTCACTGAAAAAGGCTTAAAATTCTGGAATGCAAGTGAGTTTCGGGTAAATTGTTATTTTTTTTTTTTAGAAACAAGTAACCAGAATGTATGTTTCTTTATTAGTGGAAATATGATAATATATCTGCAACATACCTCTTGCTTCAATACAAGAAGACTCATGGTAAGCCTGTTCGCCTGAGGATTCCTTGTCTAGCAGGAGAATGTATGAGCACCACACTATTCAAAGAAGGGAAGGTATGTTATCTATTTTTATTGCTATCTATTTTGCTGGTATTCCAATAATAATGACTGGGGATGGGGACTCCAGTGTTTGCAATATGACAATAATGCTCTGAATTGTGAACCACTCATCCTGCGACATATCCAGTTTAAGTCAGGGCTTAGCAAATCTAACTGTAATATATACAATTCAGGGCATCGAAGAAGGCTCCAGATACTGCTGTATTAAAGCTAAGCTGTTTTAAGTCTTCGTGTGTATACGTGTAGCTTTGAGCCATTGTTGATTCCTTGCAAGTGCCAGGACAAGTCCCTGCATTTTGGGGCAAAATTTCAGAAGTAGTTTGCCCTTGCTTGCTTCCTAGAGCTGAGAGAGAGGGATAGCCCAAGATCACCTAGCTGGGTTTGTGCTTAAGTCAGGAGTAGAACTCAAGATCTCCTGATTTCTGCCCACTGCCTTAACCACTAGGCCAAATTGGCTCTCTGTTTTAAATCTTGGCAAGGTCAAAATATCAAACCATTTGATAGCATTGTTTCTTTACCATTGGACAAAAATTACTCAGGTTTTATTTTATTTTTTTAAAGGAAGTTGTAATTTTCTATGTACAGGGCAAAGATCCTATTACACAATCCATCCTTATATTTTATCAGCAATCAATTTGTAGTATATAAAAATGGGACTTGATGGGAAGTGGGTAAGAGTAATATATAAACTCCTTGTTAACAAAATAAATGATCCAAGTGTATTGCACTTAAAGCCTTTTTTTTAACTATACTGTCAAAGTGCCAGACTGGATTATTGTGCCAAGGGGCCTTCAGAATCAATCATAGACAGTTGTGGACTTGTGTCGATCTATACATTACTTCTGAAACAATTCTTTGTACAGATAAAAAAAGCCCTGAGTTATGAAGATGGTTCGGACAATAAAGAACTTCCCTATGTATTTGGCTCCATGGAATTTCTAACGTCTTTTGATGATGGTCAGCTTATGTTAGGAAATACACCCAGACCTAAGCAGGTATCTACAAATATTGACCTTTTATTCTAATTTATTTTCTCAGCACTGTATTTAAACCATGTCTAGCTTTTGGTTTGTACTCTTTAGAAAGTAGAATCTAGTTGAATATTTTCTTTTTATAACATTGCTTCTGTATGTAGGTATTGTATATTGATTTGACTTATATCCTCCTTTTCTTGAGGAACTCAAGGCAGAATACATGTCACAATTCTATTTTCCCCACAACAAACCTGTGCAGTAGCACCAGTTGAAGAGGAGGAAGTGGTCCAGGGTATGTCTATAGCTGAAGGTAGATTTTAGGATATGGGATTTCCCACTTCCGGTTCAACAGCCCTAACCACTACACCATGGTAAACAATTGTATTGCTTGATATATCCCAGTTTCAGAAATAACAGCAAAAAAAAAAGATTTAGGCTAGTGGGACCCGATTTCCATGAGAAAGATTCTTGGCATCTCCCAGCAGGAGAAATTTGTTGGTAACTCTGGAAAATACCAAACTAGAGACACCTGTAGATTGACAGTTGGTTAATGGCAGCCTTCTGTAAAGGGCATCTCAAGTCAGGATAAGTACAGTAGTGGCCAAAATTGTGGAAACCTTTTGGGGAAAGTGTATTTTTATGCCATCACTACCAAACAGGGAGATTTTGGTCTCATCACTCCAAATAACACTGTCCCATTTTTCCTCTGTCCAGGTAACATGGGTTTTAGCCCAGTTTAGTCTTTTCAACCTTTGTTTGGGAGATAAAAGTGACTTTTTTCGTGGAATTCTAGTTTTTAAGCCAAATTCCTGCAGTCTGCGCCGAACACTCAACTTCACATTGTATTGCACCATTTCATCTTGTATAGACCCAGATGATTTTCTTCTGTCATGTAGACACAGTCTCTTAATTCTTCTATCATCACTTGCTGTTGTGCATCTTTTCCTCCCTTTACCAGTGTGGTTTTGTAATGACTGAGTCTTTTTATACCTCTTCAAAAACTTAGAAATGCCACCTTTGATTTTTTTTCTTCTTTTAATTTCTTTATAACTGTAGCCTTGTTTACTTAATAATACTATTTTACATCACTTTCTGGATGACCAGTCATTGGCCAGACCACCACCATTACTTTAATTTCATTACATTTTACAAGTTCACTAATTGAAAGAACACAAAAACCAACCAATTTGATAGTGATCACATAACACACTGGCAAATGTCTTCCTCTCAGCTTCAGTACATGACATTAATAACTGAATCCTACTGTGATCTGATTGGCTCATTGCCAAAACAAGATTGCACCTGATTGGCTCTCTAAACACTCATGCTCATTGGCTACAATCAGATGAAGGAAAGCTGCCTAATATCAACCTAAGCAAGTTGTACTTCCTTTTTCTGGTTATTTGGCTATAACTTTTCATAGAATACAGATAATTGAACAAACTTTGTTGCATTATGTTCTTGATTAAATTATCTTTCCATTGATATATAATTTTATGGTACTACTCCCCAAAAAGTGGTTATTAGCCATCAATCCTCAAAAATACACTTTTCCCAAAATGTTTCCACAATTTTGGCCACTACTGTAGGTATCTTCTAATCAGCCCCTGGATAGGAGGACAGCTGTAAAGTACACTGCATTTTCTTTTAGAAGATCAAGGTAAAAATACACAGAAGTATATTGTAGATTATTATTGGGATAATCTGTTTAATATGGTGCAAGAGCTAAATAGATATAGAAATAAGGATGACAAGCTACATTTTTTTCTCCAGAGTTCTTAGCAATGTGCTGTTAAATTGCAGCAATGGTGCTGGTCTGTCACCAGATACTAGTGACACCTTCCATACACAAAAAAATTCTGTAGACAATTAGACAATGCTTATAGATTTATTAGAACATATTGCTCCATTTTACAGAGAAGAATGTTTTCTGGTTTCATACGCATACTCTACATTGCTTATATGTCAGTGCCTGAGATGAGATGATATTAGAGCCAGTTGAAGTGGCCTTCCTATTTTCTGCTTTCTCCATTCTTCCATCTGAGACTGATAGCAGAGAGTGCCTATAAGAGACCTTCTGAATTCTACTAGCTGGGCCCTCTTATGTCCTCTAATACAGGACCTTGTAACCAATAAAGAGTTGAAATAAGCACTGACACAGAGCTAACTTGTTTCTTGGTGAAAAGGGTACTTGAGCTTGTCCAATTCATGAATAGGCTGCTCTAGTATCTAGGATTTATGGTGGTGAACAGATAAAATTCATGTTCTACACATAAAATTGGAAAGCCTTTGTCTAAATATCTTTTTTTTTCCTAATTCATTTTAAGAAACTAATGTTCCAGGATGGAGGAGAGTTCAGTTCGCCGTTACTTTCTGTGCCCAAGAGAGGAACATCAAACAAACGTGCCAACAAAGAGAACACTGGTGCTCCAGCTGCCCAGGCAGAGACCTTTGCACTTCCTCCACCCAAGACGCCTACTTGGGACATGGCTGAGAAACAAGTGCTGACCTCTTCCAACTATTCTGCTCCACTCGAGGGTAAGATTCGTAACTGTCGAGAATGGATTGAAATGAGAAACTTTCAACTGGCTACATAGGGTGTGGACTTGAAAACAAGCGATAAGCTGACTGATAGCATACTTGTCCTGAGGCTACTATTAAAAATGGCATCCTTATGTTGAAGGGGGGTGTACATTTTATTTAAATACCAGGTTGATGCAACTATTTTATGTAATGTACTTATACAATCATTTCTGTGAAATGTATTTTCACCACACAAAAGACTTAATGGGTGGGACTATTGATATCTACCCACGCTTCTCCCAAAATAAGACCCAGTCTTATATTTTTTTTCCTCCGAAAGATTAGGGCTTATTTTGGGGGAAACATGATATCAGGGTGATCAGCCTGGCTGGGCGCCCCGCCCCTGGCACGCGCACAAGAGGCGGCAAGTGCATGGGGAAAGATGGTGTATGGTCGCAGCTGCACCCCACCAGCTCCTTGGTCGACTCTCACTGGGGCTGTGCAGCCTGCACAGTGCAGGTGAGCTCATTATCTGTCCAAGCAGCAAGGGGAGGCAAGTGCTCACTGGGGGAGGCACACAATCCAGATGCACCATGTGAGCCACGGGAAATCCGAGAGTTACTGGGCCCAAGCGGGAAGCTTCAGAAGGCGTGTCTTCACACAGCAGCAGGCAGAGGCACGGGGGAGGGGGCGTAAGGCAGGTGATCCTGACATGCTGTGCGGGCCTCAGGCAAGCCAAGAGATGCAAAGACGAGCCTCCCATGGCCGGCCAGCCACTCCATCAACTCTTGGCTTTCCCACAGCACACCCAGATCATATGACTCTTCCCCCTTCCCCGTGCCTCTGACTCCACCTGCTGCCAGTGCAGCCACACAAAGACGAATCACCTGCCCTCTCCAGCCTGCTGACTCTTGACTTGCCCGTGCAGCACGCCTCTGTCTCTGCCTCCTTCTTGGACAGGTACTCATCTGTGTTGCATAGGCTGCTGCTGCTGGACACCCTCACCGCCTGTGGTGCTGGCCATGCTACCCACAAACACCCTCCCGCCCCGGGTGATGACCTTAACTGGGGCTTATTTGGGAGGTAGAGCTTCTATTAGGAGCAAACTAAAAAATCAGACTAGTGTTTATTTTCTGGTTAGGTCTTATTTTCAGGGAAACACGGTATTTATTTCAACTTCACTTTCTTGTAAAATGCACAAAATAGCTTCTTTTAACCCTCCTTTCAAACCAGACTGAACCCGGTCATGCCTTCTCTCCCTCCCCTTGCATTTTTTTCATGTAGTTAATTTTTAACTGATATCCTTATTCATATTTTTTTGTCTGGGACCACTAAGCAAAGATCAATCTTCTTTGTTAACTTAAAACTAACTTAAGCATGGTTATAAGAAGAAATAGTTATCTTTCTAAACCCGCTGATTCAAACTTGAATGGTTCTTCTTGCAGAGAAAAATTCAGTCGCCCAACCAGTGCCAGTAAATACTCCTATTAAAGCAAATGAGCTGACAGCCAACGTCATTAGCCCCGAGAGAAGGTAAATGTCCAGCAGTTATTCCAGTCTTAATCCTTATATTGGTAAGAAAAGTGCTTTTTGCTGTGTATCAGTGCTGGCTGCGTTAAACCTATTTAAATCCTTTCCTACATTTACCAACAAATATTAAAAGGCTGTGGGCCTTTCTTTAAAAACATTACACACTTCAGCAATCTTGGATGCATTCCTATTTTCCATAATTAAAATTCACTTTTGTGCCCCCAGAGAATTGGAGCACATATATAGTTCTCTCTCAAAAATCCCAAATGACTGTTGTGCAGCAAGCCCTCCTGTTTGTTGTTGTAGTTGTTGTTGTTGTTGTTAATTTCTTCCTCCTCCTCCTTCCTGCTATTGAAACAGAAATGGAAGGTCCATTGTTGCTATAGTTGAAGTGAGCAGCATTAAATCTACTCACCTGCGTGCTGTCTCTCATTATGGCAGGTGCCATTCAATGGAGCTGGATTTAAATCAGATGCATCTGGAAAATGGCCAAAAAAGAAAAGGAGCCAAAATGTTTGGGAGCCTTGAAAGGGGCTTGGATAAAATGATCACAATGCTTACCCCCAGTAAAAGGAAAGGTTCGACTAAAGAAGGCCCGAGGAAGTTAAAGGTATGATAGTCAATCAGACTAATTCAGGCGAAGTGAATTGCAGGGATCAAGGGAAACAATTGATACCAATCCTTGTTTTGGCTGCTGATCCCCAAATATGAAACCGGCTCTTCAAGAGAAATGAGGCATTTTATCCGATAATAAGACCCATCACACCCAATCTTTTAAAAATACAACCGGGTGGATTCTTGGTATCTTAGGTTAGCTAGCTTGAAGGGCTTTTGATCTGTGATCCCAACCTTTGCAGAATGCAGGCTTGGAATAACTGCCACATAATGTATTAAGCGCACTCTGCATTTAAAACCGGACAAAGTTGCTCCTGTTTTCCAAAGGTTTTCCCAGGATGCTTCTAACCAAAATTAACTGTTTTTCGTGTGCCCAGTAGGCTTTAGCATTTTCATTGCCAAAAGACAAAATTTGGAGTGCGAAATGCTGATTTAAGTTCAAATGTGTTATGCTTTTTTCCCCCACTTCACCTCCTGAAAGAATACAGGAAATGATCTGGGCTTCTCAACAAAGTTAAGGATAATTGTTTATTACCTCTCATACAAAACACCTCTCTTAATATCATAGGAATACTCTATTTTGATTTTATCCTGTTAAGTTGGCTTCTAAGGGGCATCTAGTTGGCACTATGGAAACAGACTGTTGGTTTCAATAGGTTTTTAATTTGATCCAATTCAAGTGCATTTATATTTTCAAGTTCCTAATTTAAATGCAGGAAGTTATCTCGGAAGGATTTTCCACATGTTAGTTTGATCTTAATATACAGCACATAAGAACCTATATATATAAAGTGACAGAATATCTTGCTCTGGGAAATAATCCTTTCTTTGTTAAATACTTCTTCCTGTAGGCTCACTACAATGTGACATCGACTAACTTAATAAATCCAGATGAGTTGCTACAGGAAATAATTGCTGTCCTTCCAAAAAAGCAAGTTGAATATGTACAGAAAGGGTAAGTAGGGTAAATATTCCTTGAGTTCTGCCCATGATGGCGATAGCTTGTCCCAGATCTGTGTCAGGAATTGCTTTATGCCAAACTTGCTTCATGTCATATTCTTCAGAAAAATATTGCCTGAAATATCAACATTCCAGGTCTGAAGCTGCTCATTTTGCCCTGTGTGGCTGCTAAAAAACAATCCATGTTGGCTTTCTTGTGTCTTAGTGATGCTTATTGGTTTTCCAAGAGAGTTGAATCATTAAATCTTCCCGAAAATAAAAACCCAGGGTTCTTGTTTTGTTTGTTTTTAAAGATTTGCTGGGCAGTAGCTTCACTTTTGCCTCTTTTTGTTTTACCCAGTTATAAACTGAAGTGTCAGACCCAGTCAGACTATGGCAAAGTGACAATGCAGTTTGAATTGGAGATTTGCCAGCTAAGCAAGCCTGAAGTCCTGGGCATTAGAAGGCAACGGTTGAAGGGCGATGCCTGGGTCTACAAAAGACTAGTGGAAGACATCCTGTCAAGCTGCAAGTTATAGATCTCCTAGTTCATTACGAATATACAGACAGTTTTTAGCCATGCTTATTTCAACCCGTTTAGTATATATTTTGTTTTAAATAGAAAGCTTTTTATCAATAAATATGGCCTACCGTGTCTTTGTCTTCACTTTGTCTTTTTATGCATGAATGCGATTTCTGTCTCTGTGTGGATGACCTTGGGGATTGAGAGGAAGAATTGCTGCCTAGGAAACAATCAGACAAGAGAGGCAGGAACTCCACGTGGCTAAATGGTCAGAGAAAGAAACTTAGGCAGCAACTTTCCCTAATGGATCAAGCAGTTAAAATTGGCAGCAGGAAGTTGGCACCTTCATGCTTGCAAGAGTCTTATTAAAGTAGCCTTACAATAAAACAGAATTAGTTCATCTAGTCGTGTTTCCTGGCTGGCTTATCTGGGAGGACTGACATAGAACTTGCTCATCTGGAGGCACAAACTTCCAGCCACAACATTTAACTGCTTGATCCATTAGGGCAGATCCTTCCTTTCTCTGACCCTTATGCCACTGAGGGCTCCTGCCTCTCTTGTCTGATAGTTTCCAAGGCATCATCATGACTCCTCTTTCCCCAAGGTCATCCGCACATTCCATTACACTGTGGGAATGAACTGTTGGGTTGCAATTTAGCAAAACAGCAACTTCTCAGATTACTGTTTTTGTAATTACATATTGCCAGCAACCAGGATTTTGGGAGCAGGGGGAATAATAATTGTCTAACCCAGTGGTGGGATTCAAAATTTTTTTACTACCGGTTCTGTGGGCGTGGCTTGGTGGGCATGGCAGGGGAAGGAAACTGGAAAAACTCCATTCCCTTCCCAATCCTGGGGGAAGGTTACTGCAAAATCTCCATTCCCACCTCACTCTAGGGGAAGGATATACTGCAAAATCCCCATTCCCTCTCCACCCCACTAACCTGCTTTGCAGCTCCATTCTCCTGTGCAGGGCAACAAAAGAAGACCCAGCCAATCAGCTGGGACTCGACAGGCAGAGAATAGATGGGGGTGGGGCCAGTCAGAGGTGGTATTTGCCGGTTCTGTGAACTACTCAAAATTTCCGCTACCGGTTCTCCAGAACTGATCATAACTGGCTGAATACCACCTCTGGTTCAATCCCGAATACCTTACTTCATCAGTCAATAGACATGATTTGCAGCTCAAATTAATTAGTATTGGTGCTTAAATGTAACGTGTGACATTTGTGTGCTGTTTTCATTTACATTCATTTACTAATAACATTGTCACATTATTTATGACAACACTAATTGTTATGTCATAAATGCCAACATTTGAAATGCCTGCCTTATAATGTTCCATTTGTTTCCCTATAATTGGATAAAGTCTCCAAGCTTCAGTCTGGATGATAGTAATAGCTACTAATAACTGTGCCACTTGTTTAAAAACTTTATTTCATGTTCTGATCTTTTTTTTTTCTTTTGCTGCATGATGTGGCTGCATTTCATTTTTATCTTCTTCCCTTTCTCTTAACTCTTTTTGTCAAAGTATCATACATACCTGCGGATAAGCCCATTCGCAGATAAGTTGATCCTCAATTTTTTATAAAATACCATGAAAAATGTGTCACCTGGGAATAAGCCGACTCTTGAAAATTTTGTATGTTTCAATTTTCACATTGACCTAGCCATGGATGGAGAGTGGGATGGTGGCCTAGAGGTGGAGCTCTCGCCTTACAATCAGAAGGCTGTGAGTTCGATCCTAGGTAGAAGCAGATACCTCTGTGGGCACAATGAGAATATATCTGCTGAACAAAACTTCACATTGGCAAAGGGCATTCAGCCACTAAATAGTCTGCTAGCTCCATTCAGTTGCCCAGACTCCACCCCCCAAGGGATTATGGGATCATTAAAAGGAGATGATGATTGACCTAGCCATGGATGATGCATTTTTCCACAGTATTTGGTTTAAAAAAAATGAGGGTCTGCCTATAGAGGGGATGGTCTTATTTGCAAGTATATATACCGTGTTTCTCCAACAATACGGCCCCCCCAATAGGAAGGCCCAGCACTGTTTTATATTCATGAGGTGAAATTAAGCCCCGCCCCCAAAATTTGGGCCTATTTAAATCATGCGTTCCCCACCATTTCTCACATCGCTTGAACTACATGAGGTGAAGAGAAATGGGGGGAAGGGTGGGGGAAAACTTTCCTTTAGGAGCGCCCCACAGGTAGCCTCGGCTAGAGCATCCCGCGGGCAGACTCTCCTCTGTCAGCTGATAGAAGCGCCCCACAGGCAGCCATGCCTCGCCACGAGGCCACTTCTATTGGCCGATAGAAGCGGCCACGTGGCAAGGCGAGGCTGCCCGTGGGGCACTCTAGGTGGAGGTGCGCATGGGCGGGAAATTAAGTCACCCTCCAAAAAGACAGCTGAGCCGTTTTTTCCGGGGCTCAAAAAAAATAAGGCCCAGCCTTATTTTATGAGAAACACAGTAGGTATTTTTAAAAGTATTATTGTATATACTCGTGGATAAGCCTATCTACAGATGTGCCAATTTATGTATGTATTTTGGCATCTAAAATTCTCTGCTTATCCACAAGTGGTGGTTATTATCAAAGAACGAGTGTTTGACTTGCTTTGCATCTTTGATCAGCATCTCATAAGCAAACCTTTAGAAGCCAGTTCAAAAGCTGGATTGGGTGGACCTCACGTACACCTGCTGCTGCTGCTTTCATGCTTGGTTTGAAACTAGCTATCACTTTCAAAAGCCAAACATTGCTCTACTAAAGCTTTTCTTATCTGATTCATATAAAACATCCTATATCCTTGGATAATTGTGGCATTTGGGTACTCTTGCATGTGTTATTACCCTACAGCTGGATCGCTTTATTCCGTTTCTGTTGCCATTTAATTCTGAATAATTAGGCCTATTCTAGGTACCTCCACCCGTTCGTAATCTTCCAACATGAAGAACTATTTCATCCCAATGCAGTAGACCTGCTCTTAACAACTGTTTGGTCCTGCTGATAACAAATGCACGCAACCTCTGCTTGTGATAAAAAGCCATATATTCTGGGATTCTGCCTTCCCGCCTCTCCCCTTTTCCTCTTTTAAACTAAAAACAAGCAGAGGATAATTGATTCAAGTTATCTTACACGCTCTGATGTGTGAAATAGGCTCCTTTTTCCCCCAGTTATGGTGCTGATTTCTTATGCCTAATATTCCCGGGTAGAAAACAAATTACTGCACTAAAAGAATAATCAGATGATCAAACTGCCTGCTTCTCTGTGTCTGAACCAGCTGAGTTGAGGGGCAGCCAGGGCCCTCAAGCCATTGCCTTTGAAAACTAGATTGGTTCCTCTCTTAAGTGTTTCCTGTTGTGATGCTGAATTTCAACCTTTGGACAGTGTCTTTGTCTGCAGTCTGGACATTTTTTTTTCCTGAAAGGCAGCAACGGGCTTTCTCACATACTGGAGTTGCGTGAAGCCTTACAACAATGCTGCATTTCAAGAACATTTATTATCTTGCTTCTCCACTGTTTTGCGTGGGGTTATGGAACGGTTAGCTTGCCTTGTTTCTTTTTTTCCTGTTAAAATGGGCGGATAAGAAATTTAATACACAATAATATACCAGCCATCCTGCACATCTCCATCTTAACGAGCTCTGTCTAACAAGCTAGAAAGAATAAAATACAATTGATTGCAGTCACATCGTCCAGGTCAAGTAATGGTTTTAAATTTATCAACCCATTTAGTCAATGAAAGTGCAATGAGTAATTACCAGATAATCTGCTGTATTTGTCTGAAAGGAAGATTAATTTTTTCCCAAATTATTTACCCTTAAATGGAAAGCTTATCTTGGGTTTGCTGAGAATATGCTAATGAAGGCTGGTGCGGTGTTTTTTTTTTTCCCCCTGTCTAATCTTCAGGGAGGGAAGGAAAAGAGCATTTATTTTAAATTCAGGGTTTTGTTCAAGTAAATGTGGATTTAACTTTGCTGCATTTTTCATCGAAAGGCTTGAAATGACAGCAGAAGATGTCCAAAATGCTATTTTAGATAGACAGTGGACTTGGGCAATCCCCTTGGGAGATTATTTCTTTTAGAAATAATACAGCTTCCCCTGGCCCCCACCCTGAATGCAGGATCCTCGCCCCCAATGGCCCTGTTTCGTCTCTTAATTGTCTTGCTGCTCCCAAAGTCTGGGCTCCCAAAGTCTGTTAGGCATTCCATCAGACTTATTATCTATGCAATTTCACAGAATTATTTTGAAAACTCCTTTATTATCTACAGCAACTTCCCACGAAAAGGAGGGTTATCATTTAATTGAGCCAACCGCCCACCCCTCAGTCTCCCAGTTCTTTCAACCCTTGTCTTTTGCATTCTTCCTAAACTTTCCTGTTTCACCTTCTCCTACCCCACCCCCAGATTCAACAGAAAGCAACGACAAATGAAATGGGCTCAAGTGGTAACTAGGTAAATTTGCATGAGTTGACACGGTTAACAGTGTTCCGATTTTTTGAGGGACTGCCACAAAGAAGAGGGAGGGGTCAGCCTCTTTTTCAAGGCACCAGAAGGCAAGATAAGAAACAATGGATGAAAATTAATCAAGAAGAGAAGCAACCTGGAACTAAGAAATTTCCTAACAGTTAGAACAATTAATCAGTGGAACAATCTGCCTCCAGAAGTTGTGGGTACTCTTATCACTGGAAGCTTTTAAGAAGACACTGGACAGGCCTTTGTCTGAAAGTTATAGGGTTTCCTACTTGAGCAAAGTGTTGGACTAGAAGATCTCCAAGGTCCCTTCCAACTCTTTTATTCTGTTATGTCTTAACATTAGAGCTCTCTAACCTACAAAATCTGAATATTGTAATACAAGTACTGCATATAAAATCTTTGGATAATTCTCCTTTTTCTACATTTGGGAAGATTTAAGTAGCTGTTCAAGGAATCTTACTAGTCAACCATCTTGATGTACTCCATTAAGATCAAATGAGTTTTTGCAGACAGGAGGAAATAATTCTGGGCCTTATTATTGAGGAATTACAGATTGGGAGAGATTCCCAGTTGCACCTGGAGATGGCAG